GATATATTTCGATGCAATAATCATCCGTCAGGTGTTTAATTCTGTCTCTTTGCTATATGGAGTCAGTGATCGATTTGTTGAATGCTGACCGAAATTCTGAAATGCTTCATCGATTATTGGGGATTATTTACGCGGGATTGTAATACAAAGTAATCCGAAATAGCGCAGTCACATTCAGATGTTGGCTTTTGAATGCACTTCTTTTCGGCTGCCTGCACAGCCATGTTTGTTAAAAAACAGCTCCTTAAGTAGTCAAGGTTTATTTGTTGATTTTCGATTCAGTTATCAATTTGAATGTACTTTACAGGAAGCAAAAGTAAAAATGATTTTGGTATAAATCTGCGTCCCCTTTAAATCGTGTACTTAAAGAAAGAACTTAGGAGGATAGTAGGAAACTTTTTTGGTTCAAAATGGTTCTGAACCTATCTGCCGTTACATTTACGTTTAGGTTTGGTGTCAAGAAACTGCAAAGAAAATCACCAATTTCCTTATCCCATTACGAAAATACCTTACGGAACCCATACGCTTTCTAACGTATGTAGAATATATCCTAACAGGAGCATTCTAACAAATTTTTGAAACCAAAGGATACCCATTTTTTAGTTAATAGTTCCTACAGTCGGGCTATTTTGTCACGTGACAGCCGCCTAAATCAAGATTGCCAAGAACATGATCTCAAGGACACACGTCTATCATAGTGGGAAAGGATCACACAGCGTGGCCGACCTCCCATCGCCCGTCACGAGCGAGCTTGAGACATTTCAGCCGAAGAGGAGTAGCTGAGATGCCCAGACGCCTCCGTATATCAATTCCACACATCTGCTGCTGGCAAAAAGGATTAGATTTCAATCATTTTGAGATAAAACAGATGACAGTTGAGATGACGATGCGGTAAGAGGGGACCAATGAAACTTGACCGCACATAACGTTCCAACCTCCAGCTAGTGGATGGATAGAAAGAGTGCTTCGGAGGCGACTACATACAATCTACTTAAACCTGTCCGAAAGACGGAATGAAGTTGGTGTTGACAACTCACACAAACTGCCGTAATTGTCCTGCTGACCCGTAAGGAGGAAGGTCGTTTTCAGCAGGCCATTAATGGCTGATGACTTCTCCAATTTGTTTTTAAAACGCGAACGATTACTCTGACCTGCAAAAGACCACCAGTCCTCAACTTTTAACACATTCCCATGGAAGGGGATATTTCAGAAAAGTTTTACTTACGTGACTTCTGTTATTTGGCTGTTTGTGTGTGCCTGTTGGCATCTGTTTGGCTTCTAGTGCCTGAAACCTTCCTCTATTTCCCCTGTTGCGATTTCTCAGCCCAATGCAGCCATGGTGTTGCTGACGAGGATGCAGGCTTGCAGGCAGGACTACGAAACTGTCGGGTTAGACAGTAAAATAATGGTGCGTATTTAATACAAGTAGGGGAGAAGACTGGCCGGTCACCAAAACAACGAGTTCATCTTTGTAATCTTTCGAGCCCTGCAAGAGATCGTCTTCAGTAGTGACGACGGCACCAGAGTAAATATCAATTATGAGAGGCATTAACCATGCAACAATCAGTGACGCTGCTCTGGGTGGTTGCGCAGGGTCGTGTATGTTTTCGCTAGATCGATACATCGGTTGACTGCGTTCTCGTCAGAGAACCAGATTTAAATCTGTTCTCCGCTTGCCCTGATTAAGGCGTGAGCGATTATTATGATGACGGCAAAGTTAAACTCGTGGCCCTCATCGAGGGTCTAGCAGGCCAGTTGTGATAATTCGTCATGCCGTCGCATGCGCGATCGGAGCATGCGTTCACTCTGGCCTGTATAGTTACAAGGACAGTTTAGGCACCGAGACTTTACATTAAACCCGACTGCATACTGAGATTTAATCCGTCCTTGATTTTCATGACGCCAACTGCCCCTGAATAATTTTGTGGCAGTGTGCAGTTCCGACACCAAGTACCGCGGCAGTTAGCTCAGAAGTCTCTGAAACGCCCGTGATGTTTGCCAGAATACGCCATGTCATCGGTGTTTTTTCCAGTTTTATCCTCCGCGGACGAACATGTAGGCAACACCTTACAAGCACCGACAGATGGCCATTCTGCCTAAGCTGCTGGCGAGGAGATTGGGTGTCCGGTGTTTTTTCCTCGGGGTTGCGGCAGTAAGCCTGAATTCGTTTGAAGAGAGTTCCCGAGCAGTTTCCTTTGTGGACCATCGGAAAAGTGAGGGCCTACGTAGCACTCACTACCCTCTTGTTAACCGGGTTCTCTATTTCGTCGTTGGACCTTCGCCTGACGACTCTATAATAAACGGTGGCTGATACACTTGTTGGGCGGATTGTGAGAATACTGCAGCTTTTATGTTTGTCTGGTTAATACCCTCCACAACTGTCGTTTGTTCTGTCGACGCTCCCATCTCTGGCAGTAGACTTCTGCATAGGTCCAGAAGTTCAGAATAAAAAGTAGGTTTTCCGATGCTCGAACCGTATTCTTGTTCGCTACTCAATAATAAACCTGAGGTTCGTGCGTTCTTCTCCATTAATTCACAATATCACCTGGGAAGCCCAGCCCGGACACAAAATCTTATAGACCTTAATAGTGCATCTCGACAACTTATTGAAGGCAAACATTGCCTTGGAGATAATGCGCCGAGTTCCCTGATACCGCCTACTGGTTTGTCCAAAGTTCCTTATAATCTGCCGTCTATAAAGCTAGTCCTCAGATTTGCATCATGTGGCTGTTGACGAGGGCACATTTTCGAGGACTTTGGAATAACTTTACAAGGATACGTTTGGAGTACATGATAAAAGTCTGGGAGCATTCTGATGTTAAAGGTCATTTTTTTCTCGTAAGAATTGAGATAAGGGATAAAAAATAAACCAAGGCTCAAGACTTTTCATTTAATTAAGATTCGAGCTAGGTCGAAGCCCTTTCTATTTGAGTCACTGGCAACACACGGACACATAATACGGGCATTTCAAACCTGATAACCTTTGATGATTCCTTCTAGTGTGTCCCCACAATCAACGTCCAAATTCACCCATAAAGTTTGAAGTCCGTGAGGAAAACAAGGGTGTGAAGATATTCTTTGTCATCTTGATGCCAATACCAATTGAAAGTTTCAAAAATAGCATCCCCCAGACGCCTATTCCACCTCAAAGCTGAGCGTTTGAGCACGTCTCCGCTTTTCATGCTCGAATCCGCACTAAGTCAACCAGATAGAAAGCAATTTATCAGGTTTTCGGAATGAAAACCCAAGTCCTACAATTAAAACTTAGGTGTTCTAGGACTCCAACATTTTTCCTCAGTATGGTAAACCACGTTTAAAAAATTCATCACTTGTGCGCTTAGGGACATGTTACGTCTGCTTATGTCGTAGTGTAAGGTGGTTAATGATAGTTGCAGTTTTTAATATATTTTGCGAAATACTTCAGCCGCTAACAAGCCGTCTTAAATTGGACGACCATTTAAGACCTTGTGACATCTTTTACGCTTTCTTCGTATGCAAAGCCTCAATCCATACCGCTTAACAGAATATAAGGAACGCCTGGATGAGCGTAAACGGATACAATTTTTTTAGGCATGAATCTGTCATTAAATCATGCAGACAAACCTGAAAACCAATAAAATGAAAAACACTAAAGGTGTCTCAGAAATAAACCACTCTAAAAGTTTAGCAGAGAGGCAGGAAAATACCCGTGTAAAGTCTAATTCTAATTTGGTCTTAAGCACAATTTGAGAAAAGTTGCGACACAAGGAAAGGACCACAAAATTTTGAGCAGAAAAATTTCTAGGATCGCGAACAGTTTAATTACCTCCCTTTACCCGACTGTGCTGCCTGAAGATTTTCTGTGTTAGGCCTGGAAAATGCAAATATTATTACTTGTCCCTTTTGTGGCCTGGCCAGTGGACATTCTGTACTATTATTTGTTGGGCCAGTGATGATTGGACAGAAAAATGTACAGAAATAGCGGGCGACGAATCGGATGAAAAGTTGACCGAGAGTTTAAAGATTTTCTCGGTCAGGAAAGCTTGCAAGGGGTTGTAATGTTAATTACCGTGCGGCATAATCCTAAGACAATTTAGTCATGTCAGCATATTGACCTTCGGTGCATTTGTTCTGACCGAGTCTGGAAAACACATTCTAAAAAAAGGCTGCGAAGGCAGTGCGCTTCGGCAGGACATTACGCTTCAAAGGACGAAGATGCGATTACTGGAACAAGAAATTACTTTTCAGTTCCGCAAATATTCCCATGTTACACTTGAAAAGTCAAGTTGGCTAACACGTGTTTTCAGTAATTCTTCATCAGGCCAATACAATTACATGAAGGAGTGAAAGTGTACAAAATTAACAGTGTTTATAGGTGTCTCAAGGTCAATTATGTCATTAACACTCATCTTTCCCATGCCGCCCGCATGACGAGGTTGGCGGGTTTCGGTCCTTAGGGCTGGGGGGGGGGGTAAGCGAGTTTTTGAGTGATGCTCTTGGATTGAGTACACGGAGTACCCATCACTGTAATCAGGGATTTGAGGCGGCATGTCGTCATCACGTGAGGTTGGCGTTGGCCACGGCAGAGAGAGCGCTTGTGCGACCAAAGAAATAATCCCAGCAGCTTATAACTTTTTTCAAATTTCGATCTTCCATTGCACTTATGTTTAGGGTTCCTGAGCTACCTGCTGTAAGTATTTGATTAAGGAAAAATCCTATACTCCTTTACACCATTGATAAAACATCATATTGAAGTCGTAAAATGCTTTAGGGATATAGAGTATTTTTCATGCGATGCCGTTCGAAGGCATATTTTGGGATCTTCAAAAAGCTCATAGTTACAAGTTTTAAAAACCAAGCGCTGATATTTCCTTGAACGCAAAATTAACAAACGTAGTCTCCCGTCAAATTAGTACAAGAAAAATATTTTGCGAATATGTTATATGAACTATTTTTACCTCATTAATTCATTAGACATCAATGAAAACAGCATTCTATTTGACTTAGATTTCGTATCGTGTATGATTTTGCGGGCGGCTAGAAAGCAGCCCACTGAAGGGCCGTCACCATCGCGTGGCTTAAATATCCTAGGTTCGTGCCTCCTGGAAACAATCATGCAACGCTCTATAAGCAATCCGATATCGCATTTCAGAAAACCAATCAAGATTTAGTTGATTACATCACCTTCGATTGTCTGAAAAGATTTATACTGTTAATGACGTCGCCATAGATGACGGTGTTGTTGCTACTGCTGATGATGAGGACGACGACAGTGGTGGTGTTGATGGCGTCGGCGGCGGTGATGATGGCGATGAGGAGGAGAAAGAAGTGGAGAATCATACTGATGATAGTATGATGTATTAGGAGGAGAATGACAAATGAAAACATTTTCATCCGAGCCGCCTTGCATCTATTTCTATGGTTAGCGGCATTTTATGTTATTGTACATCTTGTCGTCTAACCTTGCGAGTTGCTACCTCAACTGATGCATTTAAACAGTGTAATTTCCTCGATTTCAGGCAAAGGCGGTTCAAAAAATCCGCGATAGCCTATCTAAACTCACTGAAGCCCTTGTATGCAGTCGCCTTCCTCGGCGCCGAATTTAATTCACAGCGCGCAAACACAAACTAGCGCCAACCTTCTCACTATGCTAATGAGAACTGTTCACGAGCTATTTACACCTGCCTGTCTGTGATCCAAAACGCTTTACTACGTTTAGCTACAAAAACAATAAAAACTAAAAGTTTGCGGTTCCATGTTTAATTATACAAAGAAAGGTGGCGAAGCACAAAAATGCAAATCATAGGCCTTCTGCAGAGCGTGCGTATGCAGCCCTGCAGATAAAGAAATGTCCACATGGGTTCCGACTTTATTATTCTCGTCACCAGTTTTCGCGCGCCAGCGTTCTGTCCTGTCATTAATATACATTGGCGAACACTCCTGCAAAACGCCTCTAAACAATTGCGATAGCAGTCGACAGGAAGTGGTTCGCCCTCTCAAATGGATGAGAGCACTGTTCGATCAGCAACTTACCTCAGTTTCAAACCTCCGGGTGGGAATGCCTGCAGGTGCCGGACATTTCCAATTACCTTTGTGTTTGTCTGCACTAATTATGGATTCGTGGTTATCCCTAGTAATGGAACCGCCGTAGATGACTCCAGACAGGGACTTGGAAGCAAAATAAACTGCAGGTGCTTAGTCCGCCAATCATGGTGGATCGTGGACGGCTACCCTCACTTGCAGCTAGTTGTCCCGAAGATTTGATTATTTAGATCCTGCAAAATCGGAGGCCATCCCGCTGGTATCATATGCTATTTTAACTAGCACTGGCGGCGAAATCTAGCCATCCACATTCGGGGGAGCTGAGTGGCTTGAAACACCCTTCTCATTACACTTTCGAATGTGAACATGGCGAATATGCCAGAAGCAAACATTCAGGTGTAAGTACTGTCATTGTTTTCTGTGACTCTTGCGTGTTGTTGTTTGGCTAGAACTTTACAGCCGCCAGGTTCATATCAGTGACCACCTCTTCTAACCAAAAATAGTCTGGTACAGACATACAGACACAGATAACTCACTCTGACTTGTCGACCATCGTCAGATAACCATGCACACTTGGGATCCTATTCCAGTGTTTTAGGCCGTTGCTGCAATACCATGTCGACTGTTGCCGGCAATGCTTACCAGCGCGGGAGGAACATTCATGGACCTGGTTGAAGTACGGATCTCACCCGCCACGTCGTGGCGTGGAACTTAGTCAAGAGCCTTCAGCCAGCCTCGTAACAACCATTACTGATACCATGAGAGCAGTGTTCACAGTTTGCGTATTATGAATGCGTTTCAAGGCACAGTGGGAAGGGCGTGCTTTGCTCACTAACCAGAGACATGAAGGACCATCCTCCAACTACTATCAAATGGCGTCAAAGACAGTAGTCTACGTACTTGAGAATTTATCTGATGTCTTTATCTCCAGATGGGCGCATATATAGTGCGTGACCGAGCTCATGAAATGTCAGCCAAATTTCTGGAACGTCTTTCCGATTAGGATGTATTACTTAAGTGGGCTTGTTATACTGACTATCATGCAGCATAACCCTATAACATTTCGGACTCGTCAGGACGTCCGCTTTTTATATACACTTCCATTTGACCTCTTTCAGAAACCACACTCGGTAGAAATTGACTACTTAAGTGGCATGCATTTTTCCTATTGATTTTCGCTGGTCATATAAATTCAAATATGCTTCATAGAAAACATGCACAACAAATGTGCTTTCTTTTACTCATTTAGTAAGAAATCCCATTGCCTTTATATTTTATGCCCGGCATTTAAAAGCCCCTTACTGGGTCAATCGTTGCCATAACCTAAGTTATTTTTGCCTTCCACAGCTAGTTAGTTCTTAACTCTCAATGCTACTTAGATTGTGCCAGTGCGGAATCTACTTGGTTTATATGAAAAGAGATTATACAAAAAGGTGAAATAAGACAACTGGCCGATAGATTAGGGTTAACAGTACCAAACAAATGACAGGGAGCCGTTCGATATTGAAAGAAGCGAAGATTTTTTTCCAAATCACAGTTTAAACAGGTTACGCAGTGTTTTTTCAGCGCCTTTTGTTGTAAACACACACGTATACTCTCAAGCACCGAGAGTGTTTCACGCACTAGCGCTACATAGAATGTCAAAATTGGTAGGTCGTTATTGGAAAGCACCGTCCTAGTTGAAGGCAGCTGTGTAATTTATATTTTTACCACAAGCAAGTTGGGTAAGCATGCGTTTGTCCGTTCCTTGATTGCGCACAGAAGCCAGCCCAATTAACGCGCTTCTCAGACGGTCTGCAAAAAGCTGCGCATTTTAAATAACGCACAGGCCTATTGAACGGCTTTCGAACTGCGAATGTCTTTTTGTTTAAATGAAGTACTATAGTTTTATTGCTACTTATCATGAAATCGAAATGTTCTAGATTAAAAGATACAATAAACGTTATTTTAGTCTTTTTGCGAAAAAAACAGTTATCAATGTAACAGGGATGATATGGTACGCAGGTAGGGCTTTTTAAGAAGTAAGTTTGGTTCATATGCCTAACACGCCCCTCACCTGTCAGCATATACAGTAAACAATTAGCCGACATAGATATAAATCAAATGACTTGCTGAAAACATGTCAAAAAGGTCTATGGTGCTAATTATCAAATACGGAGTGCAGCGTAATATACGGTAGGTGCGTCATAACATCAAATGCTGACCGAAATTCTGTAATCTGTTTGCCTTTAAAATGTTACTTTGGTAAAGTTGTTATACTCATTATCTTGCAGTATAATCCTTTGAAACGTCGGTCACTTCGGGCGGTCTACTTTTGAATGAGTTCCATTACGGTCGTCTGCAAATATTACACCCTGTAAAAAGAGACTACTTAAAAACTATGGAAGTTTCTTATTGATTTTCAAGGTTCATATATAAAAGGTAGACATCCTAAGAAATGTAAAGATAGAAGGTTCTTAGGTAAAAGTAAGAACATTAGTAAATTTTCGACGTCGATCTCCTGTGTCATTGTCAGACTTGAGTAAATGTACGAAGAACAGTCCAAATTTCAAATGTGCCCGAAAAATCGATACCTCACCGGCGATTCTGCAAGTAAACCTCTGCTGCATACTTTATTGTGTATCGATCGGTTCCTGTCTATTAAACTTCTCCTTGTAATTTTTCTACACGACGTCGATTCATGCCGAGTCATGCATGACTTATCTGAGTGCATGGCTTCAAGAAAGTCTCGGTCTTTTAGGTAAGACAGGTGCTGACGACGACAGTGTTGCCGCATCCAAAATCATAACCGGTATCTAATGTGTGCACGGTCATTTGAGGCATGTGGTCTCGACTTGTAACAATTAACGGATGCTCGTGGGTGCGTATGGAGGCGGACTGTCCAGTTTGGCCGCAACATATGCCATCGCAGGCTACACATGCGATCTTGTAGACGACTTCCTTCTTCTGCAGATAGCCAACCATATCTTTAGGGTGTACAAGCTGACTGAGTAAGGTAGTCGCTGGTCTGCGCGCCACTTATATTTGGTGTTTTCTCAAGTGTCTTTCAACAAGTTCAGACATATATTTAATGTAAGGTAGGGTTATCCAAGTACTTGCTTTGGGCACCTGCTTCGAACTATCTAATTGTTCTATTGAGTATACTAGAGGCACTCAGTCTTTAAGACCCAGACCGGATTTGAATACGAGTGCAGTGACTGACGGAGTTAAGCAGCCCGCCTATGCGTTCTACATATGAGCTCGCCCCACAAGAGCGGTAAAAACTTCATAAGAGTTACAGTATCATAAAAGAGTCATTGTAGATTGACGTCCAGTCCTGCAGTCGTCCCAAAATACTCCCATAAGGACAGGCATATGCCTAGAAAGCGATGTAACGATGAAAAAGTCCTGCTAACAACGCTGTCTTAGAGCACTGAAACGCGGATTCCTGGCCAATAAAAATTAGAGGATTCGAGTCATCGTTATCTTTCGAGAGATCTTAAAGCCAGGATGGCCAGCGCGAGTCCAATGGTTGAAGACATAATTAATCCACAAGCATAGCATTTTTATAACAATCAAACTGAACTGCCTTCAGGGGCAGACCGAAGAGAGTGTACAAAACCGAAACCGATAGTCTTTCGAACTTTCTCACGCCCTATATAATCACTGATCTCACCAACCTGCCAACCTACCTCGTGCTCATCCATTCATCAGTCCTACCGTCAGAGGTTGGTACTACTTCGTGCTGAGTCAGCAGGCAGATCAGAGTCTGTTGTTCGTAGAATCAGTGATCGGGATGAGATTCATCCTCTTCCGTACTTGGTGTCGGTGGGTAATTGACCACTGTTTTCTTCATACTACCTGCCGCTCCGATGCTTGAGCAGTCGAAATCAAGGAACTCTTGATTTCGCTATATGTCCGCCTGGGCAGGGGTTGCATTATGCAGTAACCCGCAGATAAGACTTCGTGGACACTGGATCCGGACACGTTTGTTAGTGCTTGCACACGCCAGATGCAGAGAAGGGGTCGTCAGGCCGATGGATCATGTCGATTCAAGGCCTCCCATCACGATAAGTATCCACCTACATGCCCGATAAGGTAAGGGTAAATGATCGGAGTAGCGACTACACTGTCCTGCCTCAACTCAGTCTCCGAGTAACTAACAGACGAGAGGATGGACAATTAAACCCCCAATAATGTCAGACTAGTACTCATCTCAAAAGGTCTTTCAGGGTAGTTCAACCTTCCATACTTATGTCCCAACTTTCGACAATGCAGTACTCTCTCCCACGTTGTGGAAGGCCCCATTGTGCTGTTTGAATATGCGTCTAACGACAGACTTC